TGTTCGCTTTGAAACTGTTGTCTATCATGATTTTGTCTTTAAAAAGTTGCATAAGTGGGTTAAAAAATAAGGATATATATAAATTATCATTGACATTAACTTCTAAGTGATGTGAAACTAACCAAATAGTCATTAGCACCAGCCATCAAAACACACTTAATGAACCAAAACTTGGAGAAAGCCAAAAGTCAAACCCAAGCGTAGATCGGGAAATCTTTCTGAACAAAATGTCAAGTCACCAAGTCAAGTAAGAACGAGTCACTTAAGGGAAAATGTCAAACGTGAGCACACTAAGAAGCAACCATTCAACTCCCACCTTCAAGAGAACCTTCAATGGAAGCCCTACCTCGGCTTTAACCTACACATTCCCAACGTATGCGAAGAATCAAACCTATACATTCTCAACATACATGAAAAATTGAACATGCACATTCCAACATACATTAAAAATTGAAATTCTTGAGGATAACGATTATCCATTCATTTCAGGAATCACAAAAATCCCTCTCCCAGTTAAGTGGGAACTAGTCATGATAGAAAAATGCGATAGTTTAACAAATCTAGAAAAACATTTAACAATGTACAAAACACAAATAAATTTGTATATTAACAGTGAAATAGTCTTGTGTTGAGTCTTCTCGACCATGTTGTGAGGGTCAGCCTTACGATGATACAATTCTTTATCATATAACTCTATTGATTCACACTACACATTAGCATAAAAGTTATGAGTTAGGTTTGCAACTAATAATATGCACGAAGTCACATCAAAGGCTTTAGAAAGTGTGAAACAAAGCGAGGGTGAATTCATCCACAGTTTCATGGAACAATTCATCAAAGTATCAAATGTTATACCGAATTTTCACCTCGTTGTTGTCTTACACGCAATACAAGTCGCTCTATAACCTGAATCTTTGATTGATAGTTGTTTTGCCTATCAACCGAGAACCCTCAATGAACAACGGAATTGAGCAACCAATTACATCTGCATAAAGGATATCAATGCCATATTTAAAAGAAAGGACACCTCTCCTCAAACGTGCTTGACCCAATCCTCTAAAAATCATAGGGCAACTAAGTATGAACATTATACATCTCTAAATACTAGCAGAGAACGCATTCTTCGGAGGCCTTTAGCTTAGAACTTTTATGTGCATCATTATCGTTGTCATATCAACCCATGATGATACAACTAAGCATTGTCAATTTTATTAGAACTACGAGCATACTAGTGAAGGATGCTAAAAGGTCAAGGATATAATCAAATATCTCATTTCGATCTGATTTTCTTACACATTTCATTCGCAAAAACTCAAAGTCATAAAACTTACATACATTGTACCTTAATCAGGGTCACACAAATATAAAAAGCGTGCCTTACTTAAGGTTACACGAATATAAAAATTATAACTTACTCATAGTAATATGAGTATAAAAGTTGTACTTTACTCGGGATCATAAGAGTATAAAAAGATATACCTTATTCAGGATCATATCAGTATACAAATTATACTTTACTCAGGGTAACATAAGTATAAAAGTTGTACCTAACTCTAGGTCACACGAGTATATAAATATATACCTTAGTCGGGGTCACACGAGTTATACATACCTTAATCAAGTATAAAAACATGCATTTACCTTATTTGAGGTCACACGATTTATATATATCTTACTTAGATCACACGAGTTATACATACCTTACCTGAGGTCACACAAGTTAATCATATCTTACCAGGGTTATATAAGTTATACATACCTTAAATCAAGTATAAAAATATGCATCAACCTTATTCGGGGTCACACAAATTATACATACCTTATTCGAGATCAGACGAATTATATATACCTTAATTAAGTATAAAAATATGCATTTACTTTATTCGGAGTCACATGAGTTATATATACCGTACTCGGATCACACGAGTTATACATTCCTTACTCAAGTATATGACTTATCAAAACCTACATCTACCTTACTCGAATGTACAAGTTATCAAAATTTGTGTCTTAAAAACTCTAATCGGAATCATGAATCTAAGATTTGCATTATGTACTAACAATTACATAGTTTATAAACGAGATGATTTATAACTTCATAATCATAATACATACATATGATAAATGTAAATCATTTTCCATATCTATGAAGTTTTGATCTTCACGGAACAATTTTCTTGAGACGGGACCCTACCAAGCTTCTATATCCTTTATGCTAAAGTTTTTATACTTCATCGACTAAACTTTACAAATATATCTTAGTCTAACCGAATAATGGTTTAGAGAACAAATACATTCAAACTAAATACTACTCATTTATATGATGAAATGACAAACTCAACTTTAAACTAGTTTGACCTCTATTTCTAAAAGAATTCGAGTTTCAAGCTTGAGAACTTGTGTATCTACTTGATAAAAATCATTAACATGACGTTATATTATTATCTTTTATTTTTATAATATAATATATTATTACTCATTTTTAAATAAATTAATTTCTTATTTAAAAGCTAAGTTAAGTATTAAAATATTTTTTGTAAGTTTTTATTTTTATTTTTAAAAAATTACTTTTAATAGTCTTGTAGTTGATATCTAATTATTAATTTTTTTCAATCTTATCTAACATTTTCTTGTCAACCTTCACCAATTTAATAAAACCATTATTAATATATATTTTATTTTTAATAATATAAAATATATTAATACCTCCTATAATAATATAACAATAATTATTATTATAATATAAAAATTAAACTTTCTACGACTTATATATATATATATATATATATATATATATATATATATTATAAAAAACTACACCTTTTATTTAGAAATTTGTTATAATAGAAATGAGTTTAGGTTTTCGGTTTGTATCAAGTGAATGGATAGATTAGTCTATTACATACATACATATATATATATATATATATATATATATATATATATATATATATATATATATATATATTAATTAGTATAATACATATTTTTTATATAATTATTTTATTTTTTAATTATTATTTTGTAATTTAATTTTCTTTTTTTATTATTATTTAAATATATAATTTTTGTTTCTTTCTCTTATATTTATTATTTTTAAATATATAAATTATATTACTTATTTCTTAAAATTAAATATTTTTTTCTTCTAAAAAAATAAATTATAATAATTATTTTTAAAATTATAATATTTTTATATATTTTTCTTTTAAAAAAATAAAAAAATTCACTTTATATAACGAACAATCACATTCTTTGAAGTGTTACGTGTTCACATTTTTCATAATTAATTTATTTTTAATATTTTTTTATTTTTTCTTTTCACTTTTTAAATATATATGTATATATATATATATATATATATATATATAGATTTTTTTTATTTTTATCGTATGACGTAAAAAGAACAGTTATAAAAAAAATTAGCTTTTATATATAATTATATATATGTATATGTGAATTTATTTTATACATTATAAACAAATAATAATAAAAATAAATTATTATTTTTATTATTTTTGAAATAAATAAATTCTTTTATATATATATTAGCTGCTTATAGTGTTATTTTTTTTATTATCTTTTCAAAATTTAATGTATATTAATTTTAAAATTAAAATATTTGTTCTTATTATTAGAGATAAATAAATGTAAACAGAAAAAATAAATGAAAATAATGTGTAATAAAAGATAAGGAAAAATAATATTTGTTATTATTTTATATTAAAAATTAAAAGAAAAAAAATTATAAGAAATAAAGAAAAAATATAATAAATATTATATAAATGATATTGATTATATATTATTTTTCTTTCTCTAATAACATAAAGAAAGGGTTGAAAAATCATTTATTAGATAAAAATATATTTAATTACATAAATATGATAGTTAATACATTTCATTAGATAAAATAATATAACTATTATTTTAGATATTATATTAATTGATTATAGTTAATATATTTATAATATAAATTAAATATCATTGTATATTTATATAATTTAAGTAACATAAAATAATAAAATATAATAATTTGTTTTTATTTTAATTTTGATAAATATTAATCAGTTCATTGGTCAATAATTTTATGGTTTAGACAAATAGGTCGACGAATTTAAAATGGTCAGAATTTATTTATATAAAATAATAGATCAGATATATTTTTGGGATTATGCCTTTCTTGTTTATTTTTTAATTTATCTATTTATTTTATTTAATATATAATTTTTTTAAAATATGTGTTTTTACAAATATAACCTGAGGAGTTTGGTTGAACGATCACGTGATGAATAATCTGACCCGTGATGTAACCCAATTGTATGTGTCATTCCTTGGTGCAAAAAATTTAGTGTCAATTTTTAAAAATACGTATTTATATAAGATCAGAAAAAAATAAATTTTGTTTTAGAAAAATAAATTATTTAATATTTTATGGTATTAAAGAAATAAAAAATGCCTTTTTTTTTCTGGTTAATTGAAAATGTAAATAACACAGAATAAAAAAAAAAAAAAAGAAGAAGAAGAAATGAAGTGGGTGAGTGTTGTGGGGTTAATCTAATCTGATTGATTAGGCCGCTTGTTAGGTATAAATAATTAAGTGATCCCCTCACTGTATTCTCATTTGATAAATTTATCACTATTTTCCTGCTCTCCAGTTCATCAAACCCCACCCCTCTTGTGTGGGTAGGTGCTCTCTCTTTTCTTCTCTTCACTCTCTTCTTCCCTTCTCAGCTTCCCCTACCCCTTCCCATTTAAACTTCTCACCACCTTCTAGATTCTTCCGCCGATCCTTCTCCGTGTAACCGTTGTCTCCGGCCACCACTCGCTCCCTTCTTCCGTCACTTATCTAGGTCAGGTCATTCCTTTTATTTTATCTCTCTCTCTCTCTCTCTCTACCTCTTCGTCGGTTGTATCGAGGCTATATTTTTTCTAACAGGCACTGTCGCCGATTCTCTCACGTGTGTTTATGCACGCGAATCGGATTTGTATGAACTCAATCGATGGGGCACAAAAAGCGAAACACTGCCGCGCGCTCGAAACAAGCCGCGGCGGCTTCTCCGGCGGCGCAATCCGGCGTCGGCGGAGCCGCCAACGGTGCCGTATCGCCGGACGCTGACGCGTGCAAAGTTTCCGATCACAATCCGCATAACCCTAGGAAGATCGAATTGACTCCGCCCCAATCCGAGGGTTCCGATTACTCCACAATCAAGCTCGAATGCGAGCGCGCCCTCACCACGCTCCGTCGCGGGAACCATACGAAGGCAATGAAGCTGTTGCGGGAGATTTGCGCCAGAGAGGAGGGCTCGCCTTACTGCGCGTTCGTTCACCGAGTGCACAGCCTCATGTGTTTCAAAACGGCGACGGTTATCACCGACCCGAGCTCGAAGCAACGGCATTTGAAGAACGCGCTCGAGTCGGCGCGCCGCGCGGTAGAGCTCATGCCGAATTCCGTTGAGTACGCGCATTTCCGTGCCACGGTGATGTTGGAGGCGGCGACTGAAGGGAAGGATTACGAGGAGGTGGTGCATGAGTGCGAGAGGGGGCTCGCCATCGAGAACCCCAGTGATCCTGCCAAGGAGATGTTGCAGGATGAGAGCGAGCAGAAGGCATCATCTCCCGAGGAGCGCATTGCGAATGTGCAGAATGAGTTGAGGCAGCTTATTCAGAAATCGAATATAGCTTCCTTGTCATCTTGGATGAAGAATTTAAGTAATGGGGAGGAGAGATTTCGGTTGATTCCGATAAGGAGGACCCCCGAGGACCCCATGGAGGTGAGGCTGGTTCAAGCTAAAAGGCCTAATGAGATCAAGAAGGTGAGCAAGACGGCCGACGAAAGACGGAAGGAAATTGAAGTTCGAGTGGCTGCTGCTAGGCTGTTGCAACAGAAGCCAGAGGCACCGCAGTCTCCCAATGAAGGAGATAGGGATGACAAACCATTGGATTCATCTGCAGGCTCTGGTCAGAAGACAGGTGATAGGAAAAGGCACGGAAATGTGAAGAAGAGTGGCTTGACACCTGAGAAGATGAAATGGGTGCACTCATACTGGAATTCGGTTAGCATGGATATGAAGAAGGATTTTCTTAGGGTTAAAATTTGTGATCTTAAGTCGCACTATGGGTCTTCAAAGGATACTTTACCGAATGATATATTGTCAGAGGCTTTGTCTTATGCTGAGGCCAATAAAACTTGGAAATTCTGGCCTTGCTGCAACTGTGAAGAGAAACATTCCAACCCGGATTCTCACAGGCACCATGTTGTGCAGGAGCATATGGGGAGTCTTTCACCACAAATGCAGAGACTTCTGCCCAAAAATGTTGACAATGAATGGATTGAGATGATTCTTAATTGTTCTTGGAAGCCTCTGGATGTCTTAGCTGCAGCTAGAATGCTCGATAATAAAGCCAGGTTCAAAAGTCCATCACTTCCGGAGGATTTGTATTTCGATCATCATACTCTTGACTACAATGATTGTTTTAAAGAAGCAAGCAGCTCTTACACTGAGAAGGAAAGTTCAGGGGACACTCTTCGTAATTGTTTGGAAGAATGCAATAACCATTGTAAAATTGTAGAAAATGATATAAGAGAAGGTGTTGAAGACCAACTATCTATGGTTAATCCCATTATTGATTGTTGGCCAGTATCTGACGACCCTGAGCGTGCAAAACTTCTGGGGAAAATTCATGCCATGTTTGAGACTCTTATTAGGCACAAATGTCTTGCCGCTAGTCATTTGAACAAGGTCATACACTTTACTATGGGTGAGGTACAGGGTCTTGCTGCTGGTTCTCAACTTCTAAGTCATGGCGTGGACCAAACACCAATGTGCATATGCTTTCTGGGAGCATCACAGCTTAAGACAATTTTCCAATTTCTTCAGGAAATATCTCACGCATGTGGGTTGGCCAGAAATGCCGATAAAGGTAGTAGTCCCACAAATGATTTGCTGAATATCAGTCAAGGTTCTGAGATTAAAGACAAGATTGTACTTGATGGAGATGCATCACGCCTCCTACTGGATGAGTGTTTACTGCAAACGCAAGTCACTGCTGGTACACCTCAGGGGTCTGTCTTAGATGATGTCACCACCCCAAGCTCCTCTGATGGAATTTCATGCGATAATGATGCTTTGCTATCCTGGATATTATCAAGTTCCCCTGTTGGGGATCAATTGACATCATGGCTGCGGATCAGAGAAGATAAAATAAATAAAGGAAAGGAAATTGTCCAGATGCTTGAGAAGGAGTTTTACCACCTACAGGGCCTATGTGAGAAAAAGGGTGAGCGTATAAGTTATGAGGAAGCACTGCAAACAGTAGAGGATCTTTGTCTTGAAGAAGGTAAGAAGAGGGAGACTGTTGGGGAATTTGTCCAGCGAAGCTATGAATCTGTCTTAAGAAAGCGAAGAGAAGAGCTCATTGAGAGTGAGAATGATATGATGTATGTCAGCAATAGGTTTGAGTTGGATGCTATATCAAATGTTTTGCAAGAAGCAGAAGCAAGGAATGTCAATCAATTTGGTTATGATGAAACTTATGCTGGTGTGACTTCTCAATTATGCGACTTGGAATCTGGTGAAGAAGATGAATGGAGAATGAAGGAGTACTTGCATCAAATGGATGGCTGTATAGAAAATGCTATTCAGAAACTGAAGGAGCATTTATCTATAGAGGTCAGTTTATTAATTTCACATGTTTACATAGATAACATCAAGGACGTCCTTCTTTACTTTTATGTTCTAACCCTACTTTTTTTTTTTTTTTCACTGTGTAGCTTAGCAAAATTGATGCCCGAATAGTCAGAAGTGTCACAGAGATGCAGCAATTGGAATTCAAGCTTGGGCCTATTTCTGTTAATGATTATCGAGCAATATTAGTGCCTCTAGTGAAGTCTTACCTAAGGGTTCGTATTCAAACTACTGAAACATGTACTGTCGTTTTATCTTTCCCTTCACTAAATGTTCCTTATTGATATTTTAGGCCCTTTTGGAAGATTTGGCTGAGAAGGATGCAAGAGAGAAGTCTGATGCTGCAAGTGAAGCATTCTTGGCTGAACTTGCTCTAGATTCCAAGAAGGCTGTTAAAGGGGGAAGTGAGAGCACAAAACATGCTGAGAAAACAAAAGATAGGAAGAAGAATAAAGATCACAAGAAAGCAAGAGATTTGAAGGTGTTCATCATGGATGTGAAATTTGTTTATATATGTGGGGTTGATTCATTGTCTATGACAACTGACTAAACTTTCTTTGTCTTGCAGGTCACGGGTGATCATGTGCAGTTCTCAGTGGGATCTACAATTCCTGAGTCAGTATCTGTTTCATTATTTTTTCTTGATATTTTATTTTTTATTGTGTAATCTTCTACAATCACTGTCAGTCTTTAATTTTTTTGTTTAATGTGCTTCTGTTACAGTTCCAATCTAGTTGCACCTGAAAGTGACTCCCCAGATCATGAGTCTGTTTCTGTGAACGATGGTGATTTAGAACAACTTGAAGAGGAATTTAGACGTAAAATTGAGCTAGAAGAGGAGGAAAAAAAGCTTGAAGAAACTTTGGAATTCCAACGTAGGATAGAAAATGAAGCCAAACAGAGGCATCTTGCCGAGCAACAAAAAAAGTCATCTGGGTTGTACTTAGAAGTGGTAGAGAATCTTCAAGATTGTCAAAGAAAGGTCGAAACTGATTCATCAGATTCATACAAGCGTGTAAGAGTACCTGTGCAGTTATGAATCTCTTATTTTTTGAGTTTCTCCTTCTGCTTGTAGGGAGACAGAATTTCTGGTCACTAGTCTTGCTGTTACTTGGTTTGCATGGTTACCAGAAGGAATTATACTACTTTGCAAATAAACTACTAATAGAAGGAAATAATACTTTATAAATGATAAATTTTTATTTAAGGAAATATACCTCTGAACTTGCACACATTTTTCAGGACCAGTTAGTACAGGAGAATGGAACCCGAGGCAATCTGGATGGTGTGCTTTCGCCCACAACAAATGGTTCCATTTATTTGCATCAATCAAAACTTAAACAATGTAGGTGGTTTGAATATATCCTCAAATGCTAAGTTGATCTCTCTTCTTTTTTTTTCCCTTTTCTTTTTGACTTGAGGTTCTTAGCATTTATTTATTTCATTTTTGCAGCAGATTTGCCTAATGGAGTTGTTCAAGACAATGGGCTACCTGTGTCTGATCGGCGTGCTGGAAAAAAACATAAACGCCGGAATTCTTCTAGACCTGTTGATGGAAAGATTGAATCTTTTTCATCCGAAAAAGAGAATACCGAGGATACACATTCTGATTCTCACTTGAGAGAGCAAATCAAATTTAATAACAATCAAGACGCAAATAATGGTTAGTTTGACTTTTGCCCAAATACTCTTGTTATGCTGGAGGGTAATTATCAAATTTGGGTTTTATTATCAGATTTGACTCCTAATTCTTTTTAAAAGTAGCATTCAACTCAGAATGAACTTCTGTTACTAGTTTGTGGTATTGTATACAAAAATGTACATTGGATACACAAAATTCAGTTGCCAGGGGACTATGCGTTCAATTTCTTGATTTACACCTCATCTTTTACTTTTTATGGCACAATGTATCCTAATCTTTTTTTCATGTCTGTAGATCAGTTGTTGGGTGCTTGTTTAGTCATCTTTGTGTATTGAGTCCATTCATCTGTTATAGTGTCATTATTATCTTCGTTACATGGCTTTCTCTTAAAAGACATTCTAATTTTGTTAACTGAAATATGTTGTCGGGTTCATTTTATGGCTATGATGTATTGTACTCGTCTAGTTCTGTGGATGGGAAATTTCATGGGACTTCCAATGTCATCCAAAGTGTCTTTTAGGTTGACTTGTTGGATTTTCATTAGTTGTCTACAAATTATATTCTTTATTGACTTTGCATATTTTTCTAACGATGCTTATTTAGATCCTTTTCCTCCAATGTACTTCCTTCTTATAATAAAAAATGTTTCTGCTTTACTTTCCTGAGACGATTCTGTCAGTATGTGAGTAGAAATGTTTGTTCTTGCAGAAATCTTATTTTAGTTGGTTAGCCTAGTTGAAGTCATTTATAAGATATTTTTTATAATACTAACAATAAAAGGCATCTTTTGAGTATGAAAATTAATTGTCTGTTGCTTGGATGTGCCATCAGTGTGGGAAAACAATGGATCAAATGTGTTGAGAGAGTTGCCAGTAGAAGATGCAGAGGAGGAAAGATTCCAGGCGGATCTTAAAATTGCTGTACGCCAAAGCCTGGGTATAACTTTTATATTCTATGCATATGTAGACCAGTTATTTTTATCTTATAACACCTAAGATGTATTCTTATAATTAACACATCCCTTTATTCATGCAAAATCCACCCCTTTGTGAATGAATCTAGAAATAGATGAAATTGCTTGAATGGTCATTTTTTTGGAAAGCTTACCTTTCTCCTATTCTCTACTAGCCCATATTCTCTACTAGCCCCGACAGGATTAATTAGATATGTGAGTGTGATTTACAAACTCAGTATATTACTAGGTATTGTCAGAAGATATACAATACCTAAATATGGAGATATTTCCCCTCAACAAGAGAAACCTTCCAACCCATGCCATACTTTCTACTGAAGTTATCCTGGTTTCATCTTGAAGTGTTATGGAACATTGTCATTCTCTAGGTCTAACCTTGAAATATATTCTTCTTATCAGACACGTTTCAAGCTCGGGAAACTTTGCCTTTGGTTTCCAGTTTAAGAATGTCCCAGAGGGCTTCTTCAAAGGTAGATAGTGTTGATTGCTCGCCTGTAGAAGACCAAACTGATAATGTGAATGGGGCTACTTTGCTTGGTACTGGACTGAAGAATGAAGTCGGTGAATATAATTGTTTTCTCAATGTTATTATACAGGTAGGTCTTTTGAAAGTTTTCCACTTAATTATAATATCAACTGTTGCAGTATTTTATTGATGTACTATTTTCCATGGCCTAAAGCATATTCTTGTCTATGTCGAGCTCAGTCATTGTGGCATTTAAGACGCTTTCGGGTGGAATTTCTTGGCAGATCAAGAACAGAGCATGATCATGTGGGTGATCCTTGTGTTGTCTGTGCATTGTATGAAATCTTTACTGCACTGGACATTGCATCAAAGGATTCAAGGGGAGAAGCAGTTGCACCGACATCCCTGCGGATAGCTTTAAGTAATCTGTATCCCCACAGTAATTTCTTCCAGGAGGTAAGTTCATTAACATAGCAAAAAATGAAGATATTTCTTCTGTGGATGATTTAATTAATATACTGACTGACATTTGACAGGCTCAGATGAATGATGCTTCTGAGGTACTTGCAGTGATATTTGACTGCCTTCATAGATCATGTACTCGTGGTTCAAGTGTTTGCGTCACAGAATCAGCGGAAAGCAACCACGGCATGGGATCCTGGGATTGTGCAAATGGTAGTTGTATAGCACATTCACTTTTTGGAATGAACATTACTGAACAAATGAACTGCAACCATTGTCATCGTGAATCCAGATATATGAAATATACCTCCTTCTTTCACAATATAAATGCCAGTGCTCTCCGTGATATGAAGGTATCTTTATGAAGATTTTTTTTTTTTACATTGACAATTCATAGTGTATCTGATTTTCTGCTGTTGGGGAGCATGGGAGATAATTATACTTGTTAAGTTCCTTATCTGGATAACTTCTTCAATTGTTAGGAAAAGTCTTCTGCAAGTTTCTTCGATAATCTTTTGAATCTTGTGGAAATGAACCATCAGTTGGCTTGCGATCCAGAAGCTAATGGCTGTGGCAAGCTGAACCACATCCATCACTTTCTTAAAACTCCACCCCATGTTTTTATGACAGGTACCTAAAGTTGTTACTCATGGAATGTTGACATTTCTTATATACTTTCACTCACATGTTTATTATTTACATTTACAGTCCTAGGTTGGCAAAATACATGTGAGAGTGCTGATGATATAAAAGCAACTTTGGCAGCCCTGAGCACCACGATTGATATCAGTGTCCTTTATGGTGGTTTAAATCTTAAATGCACCCATAACTTGGTTTCAGTGGTATGTATTTTAATGATAAATACGTAAGCAATGTTTATATATAGTTTGATTACTTATTTTAAGGCTTCTGATGAATTTGGCTTTATTATAGAAGGAGTAATACAGTGCAATGTGAACATTTCTCATGAAAATTATTTTAAAAATATTACCTTTCTTATCTGAAGCACCTGCTTCTGGAAAGTGAAAGGGTTCATTTTGCATACAAATGAGCTTATCTTATTGTCTAATAAAATTATGGAAGAAATATAAATGAAAACCGCAGATAAATAATATTCTTTCATCACGGACCCCAACTTCATTCTTTCATTTTTGTTAGATGGTTTTGCAACATTTTGTTGAGTGGAAAAAAAATAGTTATAACTTGTAACACTTGCCACAATTGTCTATCTTATGTGTGCTAATTTGTTTTTTAACTTACAGGTTTGCTACTATGGTCAGCATTATCACTGCTTTGCTTATAGCCATGACCATGAACAGTGGATTATGTACGATGACAAGACGGTAAAGGTGAGTTGAATGCAATAAACATATACATTTTTTTTTTGGTTACTGCTGTGTAAAAGCTTTTTCTTCAATGACCAGGTAATTGGTGGATGGGCGGATGTTCTTACAATGTGTGAAAGAGGACATCTACAACCTCAGGTTCTTTTCTTTGAAGCTGTAAACTAAATTTTTGGTGGAACTGATAAACGTCATTTGCTGGACTGAAGAGTGTTGAGTTTGGCATCCAATTGGTTTCTGGTGTGGCCTTTTTTATGCAGATGCATACATTTCTGCATAACACTAAAGTGGTTTAGGCAAATAAATTTGCAAGTTGCAGTGATGTCAACTAGTTTTGGCATACATACCTCTGATGGGATGTATAGCATTTTAGAATTTACGATACAATTCAGGCTTTAAATAGAAGCAGGTTCTGGTGGGGGAGAATGATGACAAATGCATTAGTGTAACAGGATGACGTAGAGGAACCCAAAGTGGTGTTTTGATACTGAACACATTTGGTTCGTTTTGAGAATATCAGATTCATTCCTTGTATTCTACCAATAAGCAGGTTTTGGTATATGCTAGATGAAGTACAATTTGTGGAGGTTGGCCAGCAATGTATGGGAAGATCTTAGGATGTTTTATGATGGAAATAATTGCCCAGTATTATCGGGGGAACATATAGCATATGTATGTCAGTTGTCGAAGAAATTTTCCTCCCCTCCCCGTCCCCCTCCCCAAAAACAGAAAAAGGGTTATGTATAGTTCTCACACAATTAGATTTGTCAAAATGTCAGCTTCGTGTCACTTCAGCTGTAAAAGGAGTGTCGTTTACTGATCTACTGGACTACTATCCTCCTTTCAAGATACCTTGTTGGAACGTGCCGCATGGCAGATTTTGTGCAACAGTAAATTCAGGAGCTTCCATCTTTTGGATCCACAACACTGTACTCTATTTTTGTTTACTTTTTGCGGTGTGGGATGGGATCCGTAACTTGAGTATGATTCAAGGTAATTAACTAATGTTATCAATTTTTAGTTGCAGATTTTAAATGTAGATTTGAGTGAGGAAAGAGCTGAGAGGTTTTGCCACAATTTTGTCCCACACTTTTTCGGAATAGCGTCAAATGAGATGGATTATTATTATTATTATTATTATTATTATACCTCATTGTTCTACGTACATTAGTGTAAAATATTGTGCGATTTATCCTCTACACTTGTACTCGTGTTCCCTTTCAGAATTCTTTTTAAACTCGGTGCAAACGTTTAAACCGAATAACAAAATGTAGAAATGTATTTTTTTTTTTTTGGAGACCGTTGGTGTCTTTGACTATTATCACATTTAAGCTGAAACATACTGTTGTGTGTTTGTAATTAGGTGGTATCGCACATTTATTCATTTTTGGGTCAGTTGTTGGCATAAACGTCAAAAACGTAAATTTTACGGGAAAGTGATGTTTGGTTTCGAAAGTTCATTTCCTTTCCTTCTCGATTTGAAAGGGAGTTTTATATTTGTATCGTGTTTTCTCTTAAAACTTCAACTACGATCAGGAATCAATTAAGGAATTTCAGCTTTTTTTTAGTCTATTGCTTGGAGGCAAGCTAATTAATATTGTTATCTTCTAACTGATAAGTATTCCTTAATCTAGGATACTAGTCCATTTTTTATTTATATGACAGTTTTATACATCCCAGTTTTTAAATCATAGCACCCGTTATTTCTCTCCTTTTCCATGTAATTTGACTTTAATATTGACTTAAAAGTTTTATGTAAAATATTTAAATATCAAATTGATAAAAAAGGTCTTAACCTTCAATTTCAATACTAAAATAAATTTAACTGGAATGAAAAAAATAATAATTATTGTTAATTTCAATTAATAACAACAAGTTGACATGACAATTAAACTCATAATTTGATAAAAAAAATCAAGTTGATTAGAGGAGGGATAAATAATATAATCTTCACCTCATATTCGTCTTTATATTTAAATTTAAATCCTAAAATTTTAATATTTTTAAAATATTCTATTTTCTTTTTCATATTATATATAAGGTTATTTTTTTATATTTCATTTTTTTTGCTTATTTTTCACTTTTTTTTTCAATTTCTTAAATCAATTAGTTTATTATATTATTCTTTTTTTCTTCACATTTTCTTAATCTTTTGAATCAATTTGATTTTTTCAATCTTTTCAATAAATTTAATAAATACAAAGTTAATTTTTCTTCTTCGTTATCTTTTTCTAAATATTCTACAACAATTTTAATAATAACTAATATTATTTTATTTTTAATTTATCTTTATTAGGTTTTATTATATTATATTTTTTGAATTTTATTATTTATATATATTATGTATACTTTTTTTAATAAAATAATTATATTTTGAACTATTAAAAAAATTGATAATTAAATTTTTTATCACTTTGAACTAATTAAATAAAATTTAATTTATTAAATATTTTCTTATAAATTATGGATTTCATATTTTTAAATTTAACAACTTAAAAAATAATTAACCTATATATATATATAAATGTTAAATAGTGTTATAATATATAATATATAATAATAATAATAATATAAGTATTCTATATCGAAAAAAATGATTAAATGTTTATTTTTATACATATTTTAATATAAATATAATAAATTAAAATATATATTTAATTAATAATAATTAATAATAATTAAAAATTATAAAATTGTAAATTTATTTTTGTATAAAAAATACATTAAAAAATATGGAACAAGAGACGGGTCGAGGGTGGGATAACTCAAAATCTAACTAGAACAATTATGATGGCTTAATTGAGGTAAGAACAGTTAAAAAAAAAGTTAAAAACGCGATCGAAAGGTAAAACTAGCACCAACCCTGCTAGCCTAGTCACTCTTATAAAATTATCATTTCTTTAAAACATGAATCCAAAAATTTATATAAACATTCATTTTTATTGTTTTTATTAATTATATGTAATTTTAAAAATTAATTATAATATAGTTACAAATATTACTTTCAAATTTTTACTATCGTAACTTTGAACCTGTCCTATTAAGTACACAAACACTGTCGGTGCAATTTAATGTTTTTATATTTACAAAGAATGAAAAAAGCAGAAGAAGCTATAATCAGAATAGTCATAAGAAAACTGGCACATGGGTGTCGATTAAAGAATTAAATATATTATTTATATAATAATTATAATAAATATTTATATTTATTATAATTAAAATATTTTGTTTGGTCTTTATATATTATTAATTTCTTTGATATATTTTTAATAGTCCTTGTTAAAGAAGTTATCTTTATATAGTATGATGGGTATGTATAATTTTAATTATCAAGAAGTTTAATTTCATAAATAAATCAAAATCATTATTTTTCAAGATAATTGTGGGTAACTTTTATATATATATATATATATATATATATATATATATATATATATATATATAGATAGATAGATAGATAGATAGATAGATAGATAGATAGACTGATAAAATATTTTAATTATATTAAACTTATATTTATTATATTTGATATATAAAAAATATATTTTATCTTTTTATTAGATTATCACATGGTATATTTGTTAGGAAATATAAGTATGATTCTAAGTCTACATTAGGTAAGAATGAGAAAGTTGAGCAATATATAAGGAAGTATGATCCATAACCCACAACCTTAAGGTTTTGGGTTGAAAGTGGTGTTAATCCCTTATATGAGTTGGACTCAGGTCTCATTGACGTTATATCTCCCCAGTAAATTCCCAAAGGTTGATTTCGACTACATTGAATAAGAATGAGAAAGTTGAGTAACATATAAGAAAGTATGACCCATAACCTAATGCCTTAAGGTTTTGGGTCGAAAGATCCAACAAGTGGTATCAGAGCCAAAGGTTGATCGACAGTGAGTTTGAGTGTGTTCGAGGGGATATACCAATGTGGAGGAATTCATACTTGAGGTGGAGATTGTTAGGAAATACAAGTGTGATTTTAAGTTCCACGTATGGGTAAGAATGAGAAAATTGAGCAACATATAAGGAAGTATGACCCATAACCTAATGCCTTAAGGTTTTGGGTTGTGAGTGGTGTTAATCCCTTATGTGGGTTGGACTCATGTCTCGTTGATGTATTTCTCCCTTGTGAATCCCTCCTCGAAAGACCTAACAATAATGACCAAACCAACTCTCTCAAGGTACATTTCGACCACATTGTGTCCCATTTGAATTTGAGTTTTATAACATTTTTTGTATATTTGAAGTTAGTGTTTTATATATGTGTCTCTTCTTTTATGTCGAAATTGAATCCGTTATTGTTTTGTGGATTTCAATCATGTTATTATATGAATGTCTCCATGAATTGTTATTGAAATTGAATGGTTTTAGTTTGTAATTATCTATTTATGCGTTTGAGTAGATTTACGATTTATATACACTGCATTTTTATGGTTTAATTGTTTGAATTTTACTTTTTTTGTTGTTTGTAGTTTGTATATTAATTATATAATAATTTGTAGTTTGAATTATAATATGGTATGATGTTAAGAGAAGATATTTCAATATATAATGTTTATGGTTTTATGATGATGAAAAGAAAATAGAAAATGTTCGAAAAATGATAAGTTTTGACTCCGATATCGGATTTGGACGCACAACATATAAAAAATGAAGGAAAAAAAAACAAAGAAGAGAGGAAAAATCCTTAAAAGAGATTTGTCCTAACAATTTTTTCAAAATATGCTACTGAGCACATGTAATAGATAAAAGTATGATATATTATGTTATAATAACATTACAATTTGTTTCTTAATTCTTCAATGTAATAAGCATGACAATATTATATGAGAGTCATAGTTTTGTGCATGTATAACTGATTCTTAGATGCAAGTAATTACTTTTAACATTTGTTAAGTACATTATCTTCCACTACAAGAAAATTGCATATTTTGGATGAATTTTTACCGACGGATTTGTAGCCGTCGAAAAATGAGTCATTACCAACGAAAATTACTGACAGATATAAAACATTTGTGGAATTTGGTCTTACCGACGAATATATCCATTGGTAAAATAATAATTAGTTACTGACGGATTCAGTCGGTAAATTAGTCGATAAATTAACAATTATTTACTAACAGATATTTCTATCGAGTAAATTTATCGGCAAATTAACAATTAGTTACCGACGGATATATCCGTCGATAAAATTATATTTTAATAAATTAATTATTCACCTAATTAAAAAATTAAATATTTTTTATTTAATAATTTAATTTAATCATAATTAGATTAATTTATAATAATTTATTAAATTAAATAAATTTAAAAAATAAATAGTTAATTATATATAAATATATCAAAATATATAAATATATTTGTATTTATATATTTACATGATATACATTTATTTATATATAAATATAATTTATTTGTAAATTATTATCAAAAAATTCTAATAGCTTAGTGGTTGGAGTATTAACTTCCAACTCTAAGGTATTGGGTTTTAATCCTGCTAATGACAATTCTATTAATCTAATAATAATTCAAAGTTAAAAAAACTTAGTATAATGCAACTTATCCATGATTTTGAACTTAAATGTGATATGAAAAATATAATTAAAAAATAAATGTTGGTCCATTGCTAATAATTTTTGGTCAATAATTAAATTGTATATTTCAATAAATTGAATAAAATATAAAATATGTTCATTCTTGCATTCATTTCCTCTAATTCTCTTTGATACCTATGTCCTCTCCTAAGATATCTCTCTTAACGAGTGAAGGCATATAACAAATAAATTGAAAATTTCACTTCATGGTATATTTATTAATTAGTATAATGCAACTTATCCATGATTTTGAACTGAGATGTGATATGAAAAATATAAAGGGGAGGGGTCTCTAAATATATAGACTATAAATAATTAAAAAATATAATAAATAATAAAAATATTATCGATGGACTCCTATCGACAGATTCTCGTCCAGTCTATAATTTCGTACAACATTTA